TTCACCATGTGGGATTTAGGCAAGGTCTTCTTCATATACTTAAATTCTGGGCTGGAGATTTTGATATCACCTTTGCCCAGGCAGCAATTCCATCAATACCATGTAGTATCAAGGCCATAGTTACTGGCACCACAAACCCCTAACAACGTTTGACTTACTTTCAGGGGCAATGGGGCAGCTTCTTCTGTGTCCCCTAGTACCAGGAACATGGCTACTGTCATCACAAACTACAGTGAGATAGACACTCACTTCTCTGGAGCCTGAAGACACTTTGTTTTAGAAACCCATGCCCACTCCAAAGTCATACAACTATTCCCATGAACTGCTGGCAGACCAGAAACCTGGCATTCCCATATACTGCTGACACTGGCTACAGCTGCAGAAAGTGCTCAGGGGTTACACATCAGGCTTATCTAAGATAAAAGCCTAAGCAACATATAGCCATAGAAACAGAATGGTGGTTGCTGAGTTAAGCCAGGGTCTTGTGGATATGTTGAGGAAAACTATAAGGAATGGGTTCCTGAGATCCATTTTGTGTCATAGGAACTATGGTCTTCATTAATATGTTGTACAATTGAAAATTGCTAAGAGTTAGATTTTACATTTACTTATCAAAAACAATAGGTGTATTAAGCAATACACTTACTAAGATAGCCTGATTTAGTCATTGCATAATATACACACAGTTGAAAACATGCTCTATACGTATAAATAAAGTAGTCAGTTAAAAATGAAAGGAGGTAAATTATGATTACTGTGTCTTTCGTTATTTTTGACTTGTTAAATTAGATGCAAAGCGTAAAATGGAAGAAGCAAATTCTGATAAACAACAATTCATAGTTGGCGGTCCTGTCAGCTTGTCAAACAATGATAAGGATGCTGAGAATGCGGACAGGATGACAAGAGTATGCCTTATAATCCCACTCACACTGAAGCAATTGGTTGAGCGATGCAAAAGTCGAAGACATTTGGGAATTAGGAAGCAGAGGAAGGAATATGAGAAATGCTGACAAATAAAAGCCATAAATGGAAGAATTATTTGGGTATAGGATGAAACCTTATATTTTGAGTGTGAAAGCAAGGGAGAAAAATGTTGCAAATGTAGACAGGTCTATAGACTTGATGAGAAAAGGCTGTGGAATTAACATTTGCTCTTCGTTTCCTTGGTAACCTCAGAGAAAGTCATCTCTTGAAGGTGAGGAAGGTAGTTTGAAAAACAAGCAGGGTTTTTGTTTTGTTTTGGAAAGGCAGAGTTTACAGAAAGATATGGAGAGGCACACACAGAGACAGATAGAGGGAAGAGGAAGGGAAGGTGAGAAAGAGGAGAAAGAAGATCTTCCATGCATTTGTTCACTTCTCAAAGGGCTGACAACAACCAAACCTGGACCATAAAGCCAGGAGCTGATTACTTCTGGGTCTCCCAAATGGGCATAGAGGTTTAAAACTTTAGGCCATCTTCTGCTGCTTTTTAAGCCGGCCCTCAAACTGGCACTCATCCAGAATGCCGTTGCTGTATGAGGTGGCTTCACCAGCTGCACTACAATGCTGGTTCCATGTGGACACAGCTTTTTAAAACGTACTAAGGGGAATGGAAGACAAATTAAAGGAATGAGAGTCACATGTGGAACCTTGAACTAGAAAAAAAAATGTCTCAAATTTGTGGTGGCTCAATTCTAGGGGCTAGTGGATCATCTTGCACAGTATGGAAAAGATTAGGTTCAAGGTAAGAGAATGCAAATTTCAGGATTCATTATTTAGTACATATTTATTAAGCCTACTATGTGTCAAGTACTATTCTAGGTAAGGTCCTGGAGTTCAACCAATGATCAGAATAGTTGAAGGTTTGTGGACATGTAGAACTTACACTCTGCGGAGGAAATTCCAGTTGCATTCAGTTTATTGCAAAGGCCAGGATTTGATTCTCTCTTTTCTTTTCTTTTTTTTTTTAAGTTAACTAATTTATTTTTATTGGAAGGTCAGATTTACAGAGAGAGGGAGAGACAGAAATATCTTCCATTTGCTGGTTTACTTCCCAAGTGGCCACAGCAGCCAGAACTAAACCGATCCGAAGCCAAGAGCCCCTTCCTGGTCTCCCGTGCAGCTGCAGTGTCCCAAGGATTTGGACCATGTTCCACTGCTTTCCCAGGTCACAACCTGGGAATTGGAAGGGAAATAGAGCAGCAATAAATACGAGAGGGAGTTCAAATAACTCTTTTATATGCTGATTTTATTTCATTTCGCTAAATTCCCAGAAATGGGATAGCTTTTTATAAGGTCAAGCTGCATCGACTTCCTTCTGTAGTCTGTATTTGGCTTCATCCTTACATCCTTACCAGTGTTTTTTGCTTTTTTGGATTTTTGGATGATAGCCATTCTAGCTGGGATGGAATGAAACCTTCTAATGGTTTTTATTTTTGTTTATTTATTTTTTCATGGTTAGTGAGCCTCAGCAGTTTTCCCATGTGTCTGTTGGCAATTTCTATTTCTCCTTTGAAACATGCTTGTTTATGTCTTTTGTGCATTTCTTCACTGGATGGGGTTTGTGTTGTTGTTGCCGAGTTTCTTGAGCTCTTTTGCATCCAGGATATTAATCTTCTATCAGTTGCATGATTTTATCCCATTCTGCTGGTTGTTGCTTCACTTTGTTGCAATTTCCTTTACAGAGCAAAAGTTTCTTAGCTTGGTGCCATCACATTTGTTTATTTTGGCTTTAATTGTTTTTTCTGGAGTCTTTTCCAAGAAATCTTTGTCTATATGTAGTGTACAGTTAGTGTTTCAATATACATATGATTGTGATCTAATAAAATTTTTTAAACTAATAAATGTATCCACCACCTTATTTACTGATTATTTTCTTTTTCTGCGCTTCCTTTTGTTTCTTTCAGTGAACAACTTGAGATCTATTCTCTTAGAATGCTACAGAATAGAGATGGATACCAGGTCCATAAAAATTGGTTGTCAGGAAGTTAATAAATAAAAATGAGTGGAGATGTAGGCAGTCCTTCTTAATTATTTTTAGTGATTAGTAGATGAGAAAGGGGTATTATTGATATTGTTCACTTTTCTTTACTATGATGAAATTATTAAGCTAAGTTTAAAAAGAAAAGAATTTTATTTCGCTTACTTTTTTAGAAGCTCAAAGACTTGCTTTTATTATTTTTTAATTGGCAGTGTAGGATACCAGATGATTAGATATAAGGCTTGTTAATGTGTTTGTGTTCTGGTGTCTTTCCTTGTTGTAATGTCATCAGTATTCAATAATGAATATCTACCCTGATGAACTTATATAATCTGACTCATTTCCTAAAAGCCAGACCTGCAAGTACTACAGTCAGATTATGGTCTAACTTTAATCAACGCTAATCATTTACAATAGTGAATACATTTTAAAGATTAATTTTTATTATTTTTTCATTGGAAAGGCGGACATACAGAGAGGAGAGACAGAGAGGAAGATCTTCCGTCCGATGATTCACTCCCCAAGTGAGCGCAACGGTCGATGCTATGCCGATCCGAAGCCAGGAGCCTCTTCTGGGTCTCCCACGCGGGTGCAGTGTCCCAAGGCTTTGGGCCATCCTCGTCTGCTTTCCCAGGCCACAGGCAGGGAGCTGGAAGGGAAGCGGGGCTGCCGGGATTAGAACCGGCGCCCATATGGGATCCCGGGCGTGCAAGGTGAGGACCTTAACCACTTGTGCCACCGCGCTGGGCCCAATGGTGAATACATTTTAGCAGAGCATACTTAAATCACACTTAGCCTATAGCAGATGGTGACATCAAGATGATGTCAGAATTTTAAAAGTGATAAAAAGACTCACCCAAGTTTAAAGCCTCAGAAGAAGGAGTTAAAAAAAAATTTTTTTTTTGAGATATTTATGGAGCAGGGTCAGGGAACAACTTTTAAGGGTTGGAGTTATGAAGTAGTCTAGGAGAAGAAGAACCTGATTTTATAGAAAAATAATTGAATCCTTAGACGCCAATGGGGAATCCAAGGTCATGGGACCAATTAAACTGTAGTCTGCGGGCCAGTGTAACAGTTTTCTGATTGCCAAGACAGGTCTTTTCCACTAGTGCACCCAGTCAGTTTTGCTGAATCATCCTCTGCTGGTTATTTATCCCCAACCCAAATGGAGTTATTGGAGTTAATGAATAAATCCAATACATTCAAATCCACTATGATGAGCGCTATAGAAACTGATGACATGTTGACTTCTGAATTTCCTTTACAATCCTTTCTGACTCTCTCTCTCTCTCTGTCTCACACACACAGCTGTGATACATTGTATACTAGCTTTTCTTGATTAGAAACTGCTTTCCAGATACTGCAGGTTTGCACACTGATGCTAAGAAGGGACCCAAATGGAGAGATGAAAGTCATCCTGGGAATTACTAGCTGAGTAGACCTCCACTAAAAGGTTTTTGTTACGTAAATGTGACACAGTTGGGAAATCAGACAATATGTGGCAGGACATGATTCAGAAAAAGTGTTACTGACATGACAGATCCTGTGAAGCAATTATGAGAACCTGAATTTTAATAGCTCTACAAGCAGGTGAAATAATTGTTTGCCTTTTGAATTTTCTCTACCTTGCCAGTGGAAACTACAGTCGCAATTTGGAGCACAGTATTTTTCAGAGAGGCTTTAGATTTAAGAAGCTGCATTTTTGTAAGGGTAAGCAATATTCAGCAAATCACACAGATATGAGGAGGAATCGAAATAAGTTATTTAGTGTGATTTATATCTTACTGCTGTGTAAAATCGGTTTTTTTTTAGCTCAAGAGGAATAAAATAGTCTACTTTAACACTTAATATGATCTTGAGCAAATATTGAAATTCTTGATTAATATTTAACTGCAAGAAGTTTACTCAGTTCAAGTAGGAAATCAGTTCAAAGCTCATCCTGAAGTGTTCTAATTGTTGCAATTCAGGCTCCTTTTGGGGGCGCCCTTGTCCAAGGATATTGTTTAGAGCTTCACGCGAGAGCTGTGCTCGACTTCAGAAAATGTGCAACCTATGTAAGTTCTTCATCTTCTTTTACCTTACCACAGAAATTTGGACACAGAAGTTGTATTTATCTCGAAGAAAAGCAGACCTGGGAGTTTATTTCTCTAGGAATCACACCGCTGTGGAAGGTATTCGTTTCAAAAGATCCATTTTTCAAGGGCAATACTGTAGAAGCTTTGGTTGTTGTAAAGACAGAAATGATGATTGTGTCACTGAGTTCTATGAGGCAAATGCATTGTGCTACTGTGATAAATTTTGTGAAAGGGAAATATCTGCCCTGATTACAAATCCTTTTGCCATGAAGAGAAAGAATTGCCACTTCACACTCAGTCTTGGAATCCAGAAGGCAGGTTTCGGGGTATGTTGGAGCAACGTTCTGTTTCATCATCGCAATCCTGGCAGATGTTCTCTCCCTCCCTCCTCCTCTGCCTTTCCTCACTCTTCTGCCAGTGCTCAGCTTCCTAGTCCTTGCTCTCCTTTATCTCTCTCTCTTTCCCCTACTCTCATCGAAATGAAAGTATTACTGTGAATACCAAGATAAACGTGATTGAGTTGCTTAAAGGGCTTTGTTTCAGATGTTGGGGGTACTGCAGTACTTTTAGGAAGACTCTAACATGGATGCTCATCAGGATCCTGCTTTGAACACTCATTCACCTCATGTAAGGATTACTTAAAATCCTTTCTTTATTTTTCTGCATACTCCCCTTTCTTTCTTTCTTTTTTCACTTCCTCTCTTTGTTCCATTCTTGATTCCCTTTTACTTCTCCTCTGGTTTCTATTTTTCCTCTCTTTCTAAAATGTTTTGACATCAGGCCTGTCAACCTTTTTTTGCGTCTAACCTGTTGAAAGAAAGTTTTGAAAATCACAAGGCAGATTGCCTGCAAACTCACCTAATATTATATTCTTTTGTATTTTTTTATTGCTGTTTTCCGTGATAGTTTTGTAGGTATAAGAATTCCCACTTCTTCTCCACTTCTTCCTTCTCCATTCGTCACCCCTATAATTTTTCCCATATTATTACAATAGTATAGTTCCCTCAACAACAGTCACAAATCCAACATTCTGCTATTTAAGTGTATCATGGTCTTGTAGATACAGACAATGATAGAAAATCTAGTGTCTTACTATCAAGGTTTATTTAACAGTTTCATTGGGAGTCCTCCTTTCATTTTGGAGTAGAGAAACATATTGCAGTGTATCTTCACTTTCCAGTGTGCTGGTCTTCATTATACAGTTCATCTATGAGAATGTACGTAAAAGTGTTGACTTGTATATCTATTTGCTTTGTATTTTGCTTGGATATTGCCATATATTTCAGTAACTTATGATATTGGTCCTTTTTGGACTGGCTTACTTCATTAGGCATAATGGCCTCCAGCTGATGGATTAGATGTACCACAGTTTCTTTATCCATTCCTCTTTCTACAGGCATCTGGGTTGTTTCCATGTCTTTCCCACTGTGGATTGTGCTTCTAAAAATAAGAGGTTGCAGATCACTTTCTCACATGCAGATTTCACTTCCTTTATGTATTTCCAGGAATGGGATAGCTGGGTTATACAGTAGATCAATTTTCAGTTGTCTTAGTACTCTTTTCTTCATTCTGATTTCAATAGTTGTTGCCTTCTGTTTCATGGGGCCAATTGGTCCTCTAACAGTAGGACATGAGGTATAGCAATGCCACTCAAACCATGATGAAAAGAAAGGCAAGTCTGTCTCCTTCACTCTCTATGTAATACTGCATGGATTCCTTATGTGCAGTGATTCGCTTTGTTTCACTAGTGCTGGACTTGTCCAATTATTTATAAGAAAGAAAAAATCTGGGCCCAGTATTGTAGCCTAGCGGCTAAAGTTCTTACCTTGCATGCGCCGGGTTCCAATATAGCCACCAGTTCTAATCCTGGTAGCCTCACTTGCCATCCAGCTCTCTGCTTGTGGCCTGGGAAAGCAGTCGGGGACTTCCCAAAGCCTTGGGACCCTGCATCCACATGGGAGACCCGGAAAAAACTACTGGCTTCGGATCGGCTCTGCTCCAGCCATTGAGGTAACTTGGGGAGCGAATCATTGGAAGGAAGATCTTCCTCTCTGTTGCTCCTCTTCTCTGTATATCTTACTTTCCAATAATAAATAATAATAATAAAAAAATCTTTACAAGAAGAGGAAAAAAGAAATCCACGCAAGAGTAGTTTCAAAAGTCTGAGTCTGAGAAAGCTGGCATTTACTATGTTGATCCAGTTATAAGAGAAATGCTGCTGCTGCTATTGAGCAATCGATACAATCAAGTTTTGGGACAAAAAAGAAAAACATATGCCTACATTTTACAATTCCACTTTCTTTGTTGCATTTCATCAAATCACCTCAGCAGAAATTCAAGGCCCATTACACTAATGTGAGCAGGTAATGGTAACTAGAGAAATTAGTCAAAAGGCATATACATGAAAAACTAGGCTATTTTGAAGACTAGATTTTATCTATTTTTAAAATATTTTATTAAAATATTATATACATACAAGACATGTACTTAATGTGTGCAGAGACATGAATTTTTGTCCTCTGATCACACTCATAACCAACATCAAAATTAAGAACAAAGCATAAGTAGTTCTAGACTCATTTAAAAATCCAGGTGCCATCACTGTCAACCCCCAAAATGTAATCTTGTTTGCAAAATTCGGGAAATGTTCTCTTAATACATGTATTTATTATTTAAATTTGCCACCTCGTTGGCATTTATCACCTTCCTTTACAATTTATCAATGAGATAAAACTTTTACTTAATCCTATAAAATGGCAGATACCCATGAGGCATGGAAGACCTTGTCATTCATCAATAATTATCACTGAGTAATCTCCACCATGCCAAGTACTGTGCTTGGTGCCAAGAGCAAAATTGCAGCAAAAAAATAAATGACAATGTTTTATTCTCATGGAAGTGACAAAAATGTTGTGGGAAGGATGTGAAGTATTTTTGTGCAACTGCACAAATATATATATATAACATTATAATAATACATATATATATAAATATAATGCAATTGCAAATTGTGATGAATTGAAGGAAGCATTTAGGGTGTTGTAAGAATAGAACATAGTAGATACCACTACCTTGGGTGACAGGTCGCTTAGGAAAGACATTTAAGCTGACACCTAGGGAATGAGAAGGAATGAGTTACACTGGAAAAGAGTTAACAGATGAGTGCTGCGGACCTGAGAGTGAGGGGCTTCTCATGATCCTGAAGTGGCAGCAGGTTCTCTGGAGAATTATGACCAGTGTGGGCTGGGGATGACATGAGATGAAATTTGCAAAGTGAATAGGGGGTGTATAATGCCAAGACTTATACACCATGTTAGGGATTTTGGAATTCATTTAATTAAAACTTATTGTAAGATGATAGGTAGAAATAGATTTAATTCCTCGGGTGTGTAACTTGTATGTTCACAGTGGATAACACCTCAAAAGAGTCCATGCTTTGTTTTATGCTCTGCTATTGGGATCTTGATTTTTGAACAAGGGTACCCATATTTGAAATTCCCTCTTGCTCTTACAAATTATATGGCTAGAGTTGAGTAGGGAGCCTCAATTTGTATTTGTTGAAGACCAAGCAGAAAGACAGACTTACGTTAGGATCAAATTAAAGTACAGAAATAAAGTGGTAGATAAAAATCATGTGCCATGATAGTTTCTGTACACCTGTTATCACTTTCAATACTTAATTTTTCTTAAACCATTAATGAGCACATCTCAGGCCTGTACTGGTCTATGGATGCCACTTTAAGCGACACTAGAAAGTGAGAACAACTTGGAGCAGATATTTAGCACTGTAAATCTAGATGAGATAAAATCATACAATTCATAAAATATGATCTTGTGTTAGAGTATCTTATGAGGAGAAGGACACATGGGAGTTGAACTCTGTAAAAATGCAGTAACAGTTACTGAAGAAATTTACTCAGTATAGTCAAACCCAGGATATTAAAATTGGGTCAAACTAGAAAAATGAGTTGTTTAGGGAATGTAAAGAGTGAGTACAGGTGTGAGTGGTCCCAAGCTAGAATGCAATAAGCACAAGTTTTACTTTTTCAGATGGTACAATATTCAAATTCAATATTAGCTTTATTTCTGTATGCTGATTAAGAAATTATTTTCTGAAGCATATTTTTATTTCATAGGGAGCAGTTTTCAAAAGGTATTTGTAAAGCATTAAAGTACTCATGTTTACTCAAAATTTCAACAGCTACTTCCTACAAACATTCTTTTGGAAGTTGGCATATTCACAAGAAGAAGTGATAATACTTAAAAACTTATTACTTTTCCTTTACTTTATTAAGCATTCAGGGTTATTGGGAAAGACCATCATAAATTCCTAGACCATGAGAAAGTTATGATGTATGTGTAAAAAAGAGTATGGAAGTAAGTTATAACCCTCTATACATGGCAAATAATTAAATGGAATGTGCACATTCAGTATAGTCAACACTACGACTCTACAATCTCAACTATAGAGTTGGCTGCATTAACATGGTTAACAATAATTTAATAAGTGTTGTGTACACTTGAAGACTTAGGAGGCTGAGGAGAGCCCTATTTGACACACCCAAATGTTTCAACACATAAGGATGTTTTGTCCAGATTCCATTGATCATTCGTAATAAGATTTCATTTACCTTACTGCTCCACCATTGATACAATATGGTCCTTGTATTGTGCTGGGTTCTTATATTCAAAATTTCATATATAAGAGCCAATAAATAACATTGAGAAAGGAGAGTGTGGTCCCTACATTTTAAGGAAAGCACCTTTGTTCCTATCTTTTTTGTCAGAACAAGGTCATCTGTCCACACCAACCATCAAAAGAGCATGAGCACGTAAGTTTGTTTTCTTTAGTTAGCTTAGTGACAACGTGCCTGGATAAAAATGGGTTTGCTTGTAAGAAAATGAAATAAGTAATGATATTGGGAAAACCATACTCATCCATGTTAAGAAAATAGAACATCTAAAAACAGTGATTATCCAGTTACCTGTAATCTGATTAATGTTTCTATTTTTATTTGATATTATCTTCATTATCAATATGATAATGAGTATTATAATGAGGTGTAGTACTTTTGCTGTGCTACAATCTGTTTTAATTTTTCTTAGTTGAGACATATAGTCTATTCAGAAAAGTTGCCGTTGTTCAAATCCATTTTTACTTGGGAGTTATAATCTTGCTAAGACTCTAATTTAGGGTCGAAATTTTAGGTAGAACTTTTTCCAGATACAGTTTTACTGTATTAATTTTAAGGAAGTGATTAATCATTTTATGTAGTAGCGAAAAAGGTCACATTAGACTATAGTTGCTCTCATAGGGGTAATTTTT